TTAAACGGATCCGTTTCGGTAACACAGTACACAGTAGATTCGACGCCATTTCATTCAACTGAAATTTCCGAATCTTAAACTATATTATATTAACAAAACGGAGGGTTTTTAACCTAAAAAATAACAAAAGGTTTTCCCAGTCATTGAGGGTGGTAAGCAATCTCACACTCGACGTTTGTCGCAATGACGTAGCCTGAGGAGCATTGCGTCCACACAAGAGTTCCGATTCCCTCTATGGTACTAAGCTCCGGAACAGATCATATGCATGAGTAAGGGAGGAATGAGTCGAGTTCCTAATCTCTGATCCCTGCCAAGAGCGGGCAGTTCACATCCGTGACTCGCTAGGCCCCGGAAAAGACTCAAACCACAAGGCACTATAGACCTTTCCATACATAATCGCGCCCGTCCCTCCTTAGTTTCGATCCACTGACCCCCCGGTTTATGGACCTACTACGATGCCACCCGGCCAACTCGTTCTAAGTGTCAGTTCCGGTCAAAGTTTCCATATATATATTAGTGATCCATATGCAGTGTTAAAGAAAAAAAGTACCAATTTCAAGGGTCGAACCCAAACCGGCAAGACAGCTGACAGCGCTCTAACCAACTGAGCTATAGAGTCAAAGTTAATGACGCTACCAAAAATAAGAATTTTAACTGTAATCTGCGTAATGGCCAATATTCTTTACGTTGCGTTTATTTTAGTCAAGGATCCAAAAATTAGGAGCTCGGGGAAACATTTGGGTTTACATTACTACACTTTAATAACGCAACATGTTTGCTACAAATCAGGTTCATGTGTTTTTGTGAAATATGTTTATAAATGAATCAAATAGTTTAGATCAAAGTACTTACTTTGCGGTTTAGTAAACACAAGTAAAGACTGGGACTTGAAAAAGACTAAATACAAAATAATGCAACTAATTGGATTTCTATATTTTAAAATCTAGCCTATTTGCTCACATGGTAAGTAGGATAAGTTTGCGTTGATCACGTCAAGAAAATTAGCTAATTTGGCACATAACTAAGAAATCGATTCCGTTTGAAACTAATTACGCGTACCTGCTTATTCAAATCAAGGACGTCTATGTACAAATGGTGTATTGATCCCTAAATAGTCAAAACCTGAGCATATATTCAACGAATGGTTTAGTTCTGCAACTGCATGTGCAGTTTGGGCCATAAATAATTAGTCATGGATTTGCTGAAGTGAGGAATTCCCATGTTAAAAATATGAGAATTTTCAAGAGGCCATATGTGTTTGAGAGAATACAATATGTAAAATATACAGATTTTAGGAATACTCTGGGACAGACGGTGGACAGGGCATGGATAGACGATGGGTAAAACAAATAGTTTTCCAGCAAGATATATACAAAAATTAATAATTATTAGTAATTGATTAAAAATGCCAAAAATTAGCAACACGGTCGCGGCGTAGCCTGCTTTCAGTCGGGGGGGGGGGGGGGTGCGAATTTTACAAAAATTGATGTAACCTCCTTCAAAATTGAGCTAGAAGCTTCAAATAAAGCATTTTAAACCTCTAGTCTTCTTATTTAAGACGTTTGTGAACCATTTCATGGATTTTGTTGTGAATTTCATTGCAATTGAAATCGTGTCTGAGTGAATATTTCGATGGCGCCTAAACTGATCCTGATGTCAATATTAACCCCAATGTCGACTCTTGGTGTCCACTGAATGAACAATGAATAAAGGAGTGGTATCGATATGGTGAACTTTTTGAACAGCGTTTCTCTTAAACCAGTCCTCAAAACATTCTGAAAATTTTACACATCGTCAATTTTATGGTAATCTTTTGGATGGTTACATTATAATATATATCCTTTTCTCTTTATTGTTTTAGAAAACACATCAGACACTTCTTTTGTTCTTGGTATCATATAGTCGGAATGAAATGAAACTATCCGAACCTCATTGGAACGAAACGACATAAATACAATTTAATTAGGTTTCTCAATATTGTAAGTGTACAAAGGAAAGTTTGGGTGATTTAAAAAAGTATCTTGTTAATGAAATAAAAGGTTGAACTTAATTTTTATCTATTTTGGGGGTTTTGTTTTAAGTTTTTGCATACTTATTGTAAAATCAACCAAAATTTCCTTTGTATAACTGTAATATTGATGTTCGGAAAGACCTTTTATTTCATTCTCAAGAATTGGTAGAAAGAAACAAAAACAATTGCAGTGAAAAACAAAAAATGTAAACAAAAACAGTTATATAAAATATATATAAATAAATTTTGCATTAAATTGTTGCCAATCAGTCAACATTACATAAAGGACCGTGTTTTTTACAGAATGTTTTCAATAATTGGCATTGTTGAATTCAGTTCACCAAAATTATACTTTTCAATACCTGAGTACGTTCTATTCACATTATAAACCTGATATTCCCAACTTTCCCAAAGTACCGGTGTGAAGGAAATTATGGTCCACCAAGGATTATAGTCCCCCTTCTTAACGGCCCTTACTGACCCCGATCGTGTATAAGATAATAAGGGCAAGGGGTAACATAAAAATCAATGGAGAGCAGGACAATAAATGAATAGAACCTCCTACCCTTTTACACGATAGGCCAAACAGCTGGCAAATATAACGATTTCCAACCGCACGATGATCAAACATAAATTATCTAGGATATCATCCTTGGCGGGTATTTATCTAATTTCCTATGGGACCATCGTGAACCCAATTAATACACATTAATGCAATAAAAGGTTACTATATGCGACTGGCTGATACTGATATGTGCGTAGCTTCCATTCAAACTATTGCATAGCCCAAAACACATTTTCACTCTGACGCTCCTCGCATCTCTTAATTTCCTACGTTACGTTAAATACGTAATATATCTTTGCTAATTATGTGCACTGGCGGCGGGCCTTGGGTGGGCTCAGAAAAAAAAATTGGACCCAAAATAAAAAGGCCTTAAGGTCCCAAAAAGTGGGGCTTTTTGGTCATTACTGGGCCTTTTAAGTCCTTATTTTTTAATTTCAGGCCAAATTTTGAAAAAATGGGCCTCAAATTTCAAAATTTGGGCCAACTTTGGGTTTTTAGGGGTTCCCAGATCCGCCTCTGATGTGCGTATATTGGATGTGATGAGTATTAGAATTGGATGTTATATCATTAACAAGGTACTCTTCGCAATATCTGAAGTTTTGTCGGGAAATGAACTGCTTTGGATCTTAAAATAGACGAGGCAAATGCAGGAGGATATTGAAGAAGTCGAGATACATTTTAAGAGTACATTTAACTGGGTTTCCCGGGAAAGAGTTCGGTGTTATAGACAATACCCGGGAGAAACACCCAGTGGGCGTGTCACAATTACAGAGGCGAGACACAGCTAAACTGGCAAGATACTTTTAAATAGGCGAGGTCGATGAAATTTAATCTCAATGCGATATGCTATTGCCATCGGATATGATTGGCGACGAGACAACTCCCTCGTCTGTCTCAAGCCTATCTACGACGCTGCGGCCAAAATAAAGGCATGCCCATGATATGCGTTCTAGGAGATTTCTATTGGCCCAAGTGTACGTGGCTACTCACCTATTCCGACTCTTGCCGAAGTATTCTGACCTGACACAAGTATTTAGAGTTAACTATTTTTCGAATACACTCGATAGATGTCAACCTTATTTTTTGAATTTTTATCGATTGATCCCACTTTTATTTAGAATATGGTTCCTGAAATTAATATTGGGAAGACAAGAAATCAAAACTAATGTGAAACCGTTATATGGCATTACGTATCCCACCATAAATTAGTAATAAAATTCTACCAGAATGACAGGGGCCACTTTTTTTAATAAAATAATTCCAAACCACAAAATTAAAAAGAACTTATTAATTAGACATCTATCGAGTGTATTTAAAAACATAAGTAAACTCGGAGCACTTTGGTCAGGTCAGACTCAGAATACTTCGGCAAGAGTCGGAATAGTTGAGTAGCGAGTACACTTGGGCCTCCACACACACACATGAGACAGAGGCTGCAATTTGTAAACATAGTTTGAAGAACGGAAACTACTTGCTTCATTTACAAATAACAGAATACGTTTAGTGATAAATTACACCGAGAACAAAGGCTAACACAATAACATCACTGGTGGTTGAAACCCAATCTGCGGGTGAAATATATCAGAAACAGGTTGATGGTCTGCGTGCTTAAGGTCCGCATAGAAGAAAACAGAAAATAAACACCTTAAGAAACTATACAACGTGACAATACAATCAAACGACATTGGTGAAACCGGCTTAGCATCAATGACATTATGATAAAAGCAATGTGAATACTGATTAGTCTAGGGAAACAGTGAATGGAATATCAAGAACTTAAAAACAACGAGACATTATTGAAACAAAGTAGGCCTTAACATTGAACATTACATGACAAACAAGTGCATATAAGGATCTTTACGAGGACAATGGGAGACTGCTTAAACATGACAGCAAAAACACTAAAAGCTGTTTAAGCATTACTTGCGACATGACCGAATTAAGTGTTGAATAACAATCCATAAAAATCGAACAATTTCAATTACAATCAAAATGGATTAGAATCGGCTCGAAAAACGTCGTGGACGATATTCCGAGAGAGGTCAGAAGTACAACGAAGTATATCAAAAAGAAGTTGATTTTCAAAGCTTAAGGTATAATGCGATTTTTCCGAATAGTAATAAAAGTCGGAATCACGGAAAACTTGAACTTCACAAATTAGAAGCTGAAATCCTTGTGGTAAAGTGCAGCGGAAAAAACAGAGAGCTATTGATAAATCTCTAATGGCGATTGTGAATGCATTTCGAGTTACTCTAATATGCACTCGCCATGACAAGTTTATCATTGCAAGACCAGAATTAATGGGAAGTAACACTTATCGATAAGAAATCCATTAAGGTTCCTCCTGAGAAAATATACTCTGTATCCAATTTCTGTGTAAAACATACTATAATACAGAGGAATATTTTTAAGTTTGGCATAGTACTTCATTTCATAATTTGTAAATGTCATAACTGTTTGTACGAGGTATCGACCTGACATGGGCCTTCTATCAAAGTTAAGTTATCACGAAGACCGTGTTTTGATTGAACTCTGTGCATTACGAAAATATAAGTAAATACTTGAGACGTAATAATTGGCGTCTTATTGCTATAATTTAGATATCCTTCAGTAGGAAATGGCCACCAACGCATCTACCGTTCCAATTGGATGGACTAATTTAACAAGAATAGATGTCGCGATGGATCGACACTTCCGTCACGTGGATGATCAGCGTCTTTGGCTGTTTGGCGCACCAGTTGTACTCGTACTCGGAACAATAGGGAATTTGCTATGTATCGCCGTACTTTTAAGGAAAAAACTTCGGGCACAGTCTTGGTGTTGGTATCTGATAGCCTTAGCTGTTGTGGATCTAGTTGCCCTGTACACAACCACGCTTGATTGGTGGATACGATCCTTGACGGGTGTCTACATTGGGCAAATATCTCCGGGGACTTGCATCTTGGAGATTTTTCTAACTTTTCTGGCCGATCATTTCTCGGCTTGGATACTTGTTGCGGTTGCCTGTGAACGTGTGTTTTATATATATTTCCCAGTTCAGTCCAAGGGCATGTGTACACGAAAATGTTCCTTTATCGTCATAGCAGTTATAGGATTTGTACTCATATTACTTAATCTACATATTATTTGGTCAGCTGATCTTAAAGAGAGACACGGAGCATGGTCGTGTTTTCTTAATAAGGAGTTCAGTCTGTCCTGGTCATGGATAGACATGTGTTTTGCGTCTTTGTTTCCATTTGTCGCTATGGCAATGGCAAATGGATTTCTCATAAAGAAATTGTCCAAATTAAAAACGTCACCAAATGGGAACATGCGATCAAAAAACAGACAGCTGATTGTAATGATCCTGACAGTGACAGTCGCGTTTGTATTATTAACCCTACCTTTACAAATCACAATCGTTGTTTTGATTGCACAGACAAAGATCGACCCCGATGATACTGAAACTATCAACAAAATGCACTCGGCAGTTAGAGGAGCTCAGTTTATACATCAGTTCAATAGCGTCATCAATTTTGTATTATATTACGCAAGTAACTCTCGATTCAGGAAAGAATTAAAGGATTGGTGGTGTTCCTCGTCCAGTACGTACCATTCGAGAACAAACAGAGACACATAACTTCGATATTTTTGTATCTTATATTACATGCAAGGAAAATTAACTCCCAACGACGCAACTTGATATTCGACCTTGACCTTGATCGATATCAACATTTAAAATGGCGTTATTTTCTGACATTATATCTGACTATCAATTTATAATCATCAGTCTAAAAGATTCGAACCAATGTCTCGATCAATTGTTGTGTGTTTTGGATTTTTTTCTTTGGAAATACGACCACAATCCGCGAATCAAATTCTGAAGTAAATAGAATTGCGGCTGTTTAAATTCGAATTCAAATTATGTTTTGAAATCACGACATCGATATTGCAGAATATCAAGATGAAACCCTCAGAGCCAATCCTCATTGATTACATGCGGGCCTTTTATTTATCAGCTATATGACAGATTTTCGTTGAAATTGAAGCTTTTTCGTGGTAGTGATTACTTCATCTGGGGTGCGTAACTAGAACATTTTTACGAAAGCCCACAACGAATTTGGCTGACCAATTCGATCTATCGAACGGGCTTCGAGCATTCATGTGACCAAAAGTCCGCCATTATTACCTTATATGGCAAATGATTGTTCAACGATCATGACGTCATACAATGTGATTGTGATTCGAAGATACGACGCATCACATAATGTATGACATCAATCACAATATTGCCCAATATATTAATTTGTGACGTCATTAACATGTTGCCTAACCAACATCAAAACAACCATTTAGTTTAATTTATTGTCTTTCTCTCCTGTGTTTTTTTCATAAAAAGTGGATCAGTTTTGTCAACCTTTGTACCTTTCTAGTGACATTTTCACTGGCTCATCTTTCTTAAATCTAAATTCGTATTTTCATGAATCCATTATATTCTTACCATATGATTTCTAAGATAGCAACCACAATCAGGAAAACACCGAGCTTGGAATTTTCTGGCAATAAGTACCACTGGATGAATACCTGATATCATAATTAACGTACCAAATCACTGGTGATTTAGAATGCCTACATGTCGAACATGGATTTCTAAAAATCGATCGACATAAATGCAATATAACATGCGCATATTGTACATATCTGTGGATACCTAATCATGTACAGTTAACATTTCTATTGTTTATAATATCGCAATAAATTACGATCATAATTATCTGTCTAGATTGTATTTAGGAAATTACCATGACGTTTCCCCTATCATGTTATTATTATAAATTGGCCTGTACAATTAACTTGTTGAACTCTAAAATATACGATCAAGAATTAAAAAATGAAATGATTATTTTCAATTATTTGCCAGTCATAGTAAAACTAGCAAGGATTTATTAATACGTACCAAAACAGTTTTATTTTGTGCTTATTCGGATCGCCGAGTAAAGTAGTCATTTTTCTGACAATACTCGACATCAATCATCGCCATCTTTATGACTATTTGTTATGAGACTCGGTCAAGTTGCGGCATCATTGTGTTTTAAAAATTATGTTACACAAGTTATAACTTGTTAAATCAGCAGTATTTTACAAGGTCTTCATTTATCATATTAGGAGGCCCCATCGGAGGGCTTCCTATTCATTCCTCTTCAAGTTCTCAGTTCTCAAATTTGACCTTAGATTTGACATTTGGCCTTTATTTTACCTCCAGTGACATTCGAAAGGTCAAAAAAAGTTAATTTTACTGATTTTCTGATTTCAAATGGTCAGTTAATTACAAAAGATGTACTGAGGTCTGAAAAAGAAAATTTCAAGGTGAAAGGTCATCAAAATAGATCATTAATATTTTAAACTTAAAACCTGGATGTAGATTCCTCTAAAGGTTCTTCACATTTTAGCAACTGACTATTTTAATATTTATTCTTTTTTGCCCGTTTTGAGATGCATATGTTAGAGCTCAAAAACTGAAAAAGGCTAATGGCTAGATGAGTCCAGTGTGTCAGTGTATTTTTAAGAGATCAGGGGTAAATTCGAAGATAAAACAATCCGTCGAAAATTGTACCGTCTGTAAATATTGGTAGGACGAATTATTCAGAGTTTGCTCAAGCTAATATACATCCCTGTAACATACATCCCTGTAAAGTCCAATTAAATTGTGGTTTTTACAGGCTAGGAAAGTACTAAGACAATGATTTAGATAAGATCTTAGTTAATACTTGATAGGTAAATCAAGATATCAATTTTTCCATTATACACAAAAGAAGATCATAAAACTTCATTACATTGAAATCCATGTAATAACACGTAATTGAATCATCAACCTTTCATTTTGTCTCTGACATTCAAATATCAAGATGTACTTCAAATAGCCATCATTGATTCAGTAAAGAAATAGATGACATAATTTTGGTCGATGCCCGCAGCAACACAGCAACAGAGTATAAATCGAATTAGTGAAACTGAAAAAATGGGGTTCTAAAGGGTGAATAAAAAAGTTTATCCTACACTTAGTGTACTAAATGTATAATAACATGAAAAAATAAATTTGATATTTATTGGCAAAATGAATATCCGGAGGATATCGTTACGATATACTCCGGGCGGAGGATATCGTGACGATATCCTCCGGAAAACCCAATATACGGAGGATATTGTGACGATATACTCCGCTAGTTGATTTCCCGCCAAATTGACTCTATTTGGCATGAAATTCATTTTACAATGATATTATACATTCAGTACACTCCTTGTAAGTGTAGGATAATAAGAACATCCTATGATTTTTTTCAGAATATCATTTTAATCTACTCGGTGATATTGATATATGAACTCGTTCGCTTCGCTCTCTCGTGCAGATATCAATATCACCTCGTAGATAAAAATGATATTCCTCAAAATCATAGGATATCCTATAAATATCTTAAATTCGAAAAAAGGTATTTTTGCTATGCTCTGAATGGAACAAGTTTGAAGAAAAACGGTGCAGTATGAGACTCGCAATCCTTGATTTTCAAACATCTGGTAGGTCAAAAAAGTCTCGATGGATATGAATAATGAGGAGTCGTCTTTAGGACAACATTTGACAAAAGTTATTGCCCACTTGACATTCTGAAAATTAGGAAATGGTGAAACAAATATGCCAAAATATTTTAATTTTTTCGAATGTATGATGATGTGCATAAAAGACTAACAGAAAAATGGAATTCGAACCACAACATTTCAACACACACATAGTCCATTTGTCATTTTCTTAACGTATGAATATTTAAAAACATGATGTTTTTCTGTGCAAATACTATCATTAGGGTTTATTGGAGTGATTTAGCTTGGTTGCCAAAAAATTAACGTTGGGGAAAATGTTTGTATCTATCACCATGGTAACATACCAGGTACATGGTGGTAACCCGACGCTAAGTCAATAGTCAATACCATGTTAAGCCAATGCACGCCTCCCTAATTAGCCGATATACTTTTTTCCCCAAACTAACTTTTTGTCCAACCCAGTTAAATCACTTCAGAAAACCCTTGTTATTATAAATTAACCATAAAACATCGTGTTTTTAACAATTCATAGGTTCACTATAGTATGTATAGGGGTGACAAATGGACTAACAGGTCATGGTAACCTTAGCACTATATCAAAGTCGATTTGATGGGAACTTTAGGTATTTTGTTATAATTGTCATCTAAAATCAACTTCGAATACACTATGAATACTTCTGACGTCATATATTCATTTAAAAGAAGTATAAAACTAGGATACCAACCTGGCCTAGTTATCCATTCGTTCACTGTCAACATAGCTGTTGGTTGACACTATATAATCTGGGGGGGGGGGTTAGCCCAGGAAAACACTTTTTGAAGGCCTTTTTGGACAAAACTAGGCATTTAAAGCCTTTTTTCAATTATAGGCCAAATTATCAGGAAAATGGGCCTCAAGTTTCAAAACCTTTTGGTTTTAGGGGCCCGATTGTTTTCAGACTTCAAAATATGTCCCCCCCCCCTTGTTGGTTCCTTGATCCGCCCCTGATTACCTGATATCAATATATTTCAAAATTCTATAGAACGTATAATTTGGATGGAATTAACAACCAAGGTTCATAGAGAAGGTGACAGAAATACAAAAATTAATTTATGTTGGATATAAAAGGGCCTATAAGGGCCATTGAGTAAAATCGGGATATGTGTCACCATTTTTTAAAAAGTATGATATTCCATAAATGTCCCCTGTCTTTCTTAATAACTTTGGCATACTATAATCTAGCAAGTACAACCTATATATACTTGTTTATATATTCCCGTATCCCCTCTCCTCCTAGCATAGGCCCGTTTTGTCTCTGTTAATCCACGAGTCAGACAGTTTTATTCGGGCGGCTAGCCGGCTATATATCACCGATCGCGATTGGAATGAGTAAATGTGGAGTATACTATAATATGTCCTTGGAATGACATTATAATATAATGAATTCTCACAAGGTTAAACTGAAAAGTATGTTACGATTAAATGTAAGTTTTTTATGTACACTTCATTTCATCTTAAAACATCCTGGTTCAAAACGTTTGATTTCCTTTCCTATTTAAAAGGTTTCTCTCATTTTTACATACTTAGTTTATTTTTCAAATAGTAAATCAACAAAAAATACGAGGTCAAAACATTTTATTAAATTAATTAGGCTGTTAATCCACCTGTGTTGGCCTATAACCATGTATACATTGAATTATATTTCCAGTCTATTCGTTGTGTATCAGGCCAGTCTAAAATACAGCTGTATCTGTTTTGAACCGCGGTTGTCATAGGAACCATAATTATGCAATAACTCAACAGTTAAACACAAGCACTTTATTCAACCATCTCCATGGTTGTATCACTTACTTTTGTACACTAATTTTAAGTGGTACACTACATATACTTGTAATCTTTTCCAGACCAAGTAAAGACCTTGACTTGAGTTTATTTAGACCCATAAACTATTCCTTGAATTACATGTATTTTTTATTACGGCTCGAGAAAACGGAGTTATCCAAGCATCCGAAGTTGAATACATGAATTCATATCGTAACTTTTGAAAATGCAGCATAAAAAACACGTAAATTAGACGGCAATGACATCTTCTAAAAGAGTGAAGTCGTAAAATGTTTAAGTGATACTTGTTATGGTTAACTCCGCGTGTTATACGTGCAGGGTCATTCCGAGACGCGTTGCATCAGTCCCGAAACATGTTATACCAGCTTGGGACGGTGCGGCAAGAGGTAGTGGTGCTCGGGGCGGGGGCGGTATTGCGGCGAGGGATATCAAAGGTAGCATCTCGGGACCCCAACTGGAAATGAAAATGACTGTAGATTCCAAATGCATCCCCAGTAAACCCAGCTTTGCCTAGAAGGTAAGTCCAATTATGTTACTTTTAGTTCTAAACAAGGAAAACATTGAATATAAAATAGATATCTTATTCAACAGGTTATATTTCCTCCTTGTCGGCTAAACATGTATAATAAACATTTAAAATGAAATTAAAAACGTTGGTGCTTTCATGACATATCATTAACATATTTAAATCTATTATGCCAGTTAATGGGGTGGGGGGGGGGGGGGGTGGGGGGGGGGTGGTTGCCCTTGTCTACGGTTACATTTGAAAGTAGGATATTCATGCTTCTTTGCTTATAAACCAATCCTCGACTCTGATGTAACTTATTGATGCAGTGTATATGTCGAATGTGTCAATTCAGAAATTAATATTAATTAATGGTAAGACACTCAGTGGTGGTGATTTTGGAGATTGGAATCAGACAGGTTATTTACTGTATATGTATCTTAAATGTCATCATTGCGTCATATTGAATAAATTCACTGATGAACATAAATGTTAAATCTAACTCAACCCGTGCGTAGAGTAATTAAGAACAAACGAAGCTGTCTTTTAAGAGGCAAAGTCTAACAATTGCAATCAATAAGGTTATTTAAGATATGGCCTCCTTAAAATAATAAGGTATATTACATACACTGTACATGAATCTATATCGCGTTTGCAAGAAAGATGTCTCCATGAATCGATTTAGCTTGTATGTATAATTGTTCTTTGTAAATGAAAGCTATCAAAAATCTAAAACAGGTTAAAATCTATTCACAGAGTGTATAAAATAGGTCGACTCGGTCCTAAATCATCGTTTTATGAACTGGTTTCATTTGAAGTACTGTAGCATTGGTTTCAAGGTTACCAATTTTACCCTTGACGGGTGCTTGAGGATGCTTTCAGATAAGCGGGGTCATTGGGTTTAGCACACGGGGCATTAGTTTGGGCAGAGCAGAATTTGAGTGAGAGTCGAATATTTAGCGATTGAGTTATGGAATTTGAATAAAACAGAAGGGGAGAGAAGATCACCCTCAAGAAATGTACATTCGATACACCACCCCTTCATTATGCAGTGTATCACACAGGCAACCAACTATTTCGGCATTACGTGACATTTTTTTAACAGATTCGATATTTATGAAGTCTATAAAAATAATTCGATTGTAAAGGTTGACCAGGTGTAAAAGAAATTATGGTCCCCCATGGATTATGGTCCCCTTTCTTAACGGCCCTTACTGGCCCTGATTGCGTATACGATAATGGGGGAAAGAGTTGTATTTAGGTCGCCATATAAATCAATGGGGAGTAGGACCATAATGTGAGAGGACCTCCTACCCTTTTACACCGGTTACGCCATGACACAGTGACACGCTGATCTAACACCAAAACTATGAGTGAATACCACACATCCCCCTAATCACGTCAAAGTACAATTATTTCGCGGATCACATCTTAAATATAACATTGCGGCCTTTTTATGGTATTTGGATTAGAAGACCTATGACAAATCCGCATCGTTTTTGTTCATTTTCAGGTTGGTCCAATTTAGGGCACGCAGAAACGTTGACTCTTTGAAGTATTAAACATTCTACTCTCCCTATTAAAAGGCCAGTTTTTCGATTTTAACAAATAAATCGAATTTTTGAACTACAGTTTTGCAATTTTGCATATTTAAAATTCGAAACACAAATTGCTATCCATCTCTGGTTGCTAATCTTTTTAGGGGGAGTGTACAAACTGACAATCAATAATTGATACAATGTGTATATGAAGTATTGTTTTTTTATTCATATACTGAGATATTGAGTCACTCTGTACATTGTTAAAATATATTATTGCAATTTTATGTGTTTTTTTATTACATATGACGTATAACAGGTTTTTACCCTTGGAATTCTCAAAATAATCTATTAACATATCCATATATGTCAACATTTTAAAAAGCTTGTGCATATTTAGTATCTGATTACAGCAATAAACATGCATTTGTATTAAAAACACGTAGTTGTAGTCTAGCATACATGCTTTATAATTAATGCATCCACGAGATGTGCTGACGACTTGAAAAAGTATCCAGATTTTTTATTTGTAGGTTAACTTGACTTTTGAGAAAGATATGCACTTTTTAGAACACGGCATACTTGCATGCATGTTTCGCGCTGTTTCCTATCTTGAAGGCTATTTCATGTATCTTTTAAAGTTTTAAGCATTAGATAATCGCCTTCAGCGTTCAGGGTTGTATTAAACACACGCACTAGTCCAATTCATCGACGTCATCGAAGAGGTTTAGCACTATATATATAGTTCTCACAATTCTCTTCCGATCGAATTTTAACTGGTATTGACAATATAACCATTTTTTTCTCCAGACTGAGCATTCAGTATGAAAAGTGCTAAAAGAAAGATATAACAAAATTACAAACTCATCTATGCGTCTTCATAACAAGCTGAATGTAAGCTCAACGTCCAGTGCTACCAGTTTTGCATACATTTCCCTTTATAAGTTATAATTGCAACCGAAATAACACGTTGCATTACTTATCAATGCGATGCCTGTCTATGTTTGACGATTGAAAACATCACCATGTATATATTCGGCATGCCAAACATTTTAGGGAAGAGTATAATTCACTGGTTCAAAAGCACCCAATAAAACCTACGCATGAACATTTTAGATTCTAAACTACATATCTATTTTGAACCTTTCAAAGGTCACTGAAGGTCAACCAAAGGTCCCATCTCGAATCTAAAGCCAAATTTTAACTGCATTCCTCTCGTTTATCGGAGACTGTGATTATGCCTGGAGTTTAATAAACAGCATCGTCTCAGCCTTTGATTTAAGGGTGGTCTCGCAAATCATCTGAAAAAACGGCCATCTTTAATTATAATCAAATATGATATTAAGTTGACAACAATTCCTTACCTAATTGCAATAATTGTTTGCTGAGAACATAGGTATAATCAAATATGTTATTAAGTTTACAACAGTTCCTCAACTAATTCCAATAATTGTTTGCTGAGAACATAGGATTATTGCAATTAGTAGAGGAACTGTTGTCAAATTAACATCATATTTGCATTATACCTATGATCTCAGCAAACAATTATTGCAATTAGTGGAGGAACTGTTGTCAACTTAATATCATATTTGATTATACCTATGATCTCAGCAAACAATTATTGCAATGAGCGAAGGAATAGTTGTCAACCCGCTGATAATTTCACGACTAATATGTGGAGGAAACAACATCGCTTTGAGGTCAAAGATGGTTGGGACATCTATATTTATGGTGGGCGTATCTACGCTTCTTCAAGTCCTTGTTGGAACGAGGTAGAGTGGTAGCTTTTTTACTTTCATGCTACTGCGTGGATACATGGGAAATTAGTTAAACTTGGTAGAGCATTATACGAATATCTATAAGTGTATCTCTTAATTGATTAATTTTAACCGCTAAGCTTTCGTACGTAAAAAGTATGAAACAAACGCCATGAATTTTGATTGAAGAAATCAAGAATCTACTTGTTATTTGAACGACTTAAAACAAGGACGCGTGATGGGTTGAAACTGTGAGAATGATACGTTCCATGCATGCACTACGGTGCCCTTACATTGAGTGTGTTTCTAGATTACCGATTGTCCAGGGAAGTTCCCCAAATATGATAGCAGCCATTACAGCAATGACGACTCTGGAGAGGTTCAGATGTGTAGCTGAAGTAACTACTATTATGTCAGTGGGAAATACAACGCTCCATGAGTCAAAAGATACGATGTATGACGACAACTGGCCAATGAGGATAAATGAAGTTAGTATTTAATCATTTTAAGAATGAATATCATAAGAGCAAACATCTGCAACCTACAACCTTTTTTAACACTTAGTCGTAAAAAGGGGGGGGGGGCTCTGCAATTTTTATTACTTGTCTGATTTCATTATTGTTGGTGTTGTAGTAAACCCTATTCAATAACCTCTTCAGAAAAGTTTTGTTTATTAAAAAAAGTAGGTTAACATTGGTCGGATGTAGGTCAAATCGAGATCAATGTGACCTAGGGTGTGTACATTTTTGGCATTTTGTGATCAATTATCTTTGGAATTGAATAGTCAGCAATTCCAAGTTTAACTTGTTTTTGTCTTTAGCGTTCATATTTCAAGATGTACAACAAATGCCAATCAGTGATTACAAATGTATAAATCTATTACACGGTATTGTTCCAATATAATCTCAGTCCATGATGTTGCCTAGCAACCACCTAGCAACAGCACAAACATCGAAATAGTTAAATTGAAAAGTTGGGGGTAGGAGAATAAAAAAAATATATCTAAAATTCGGAAGAAAGTAGTCTCATAGTTGTGGTTTTACAGTGTGCATAAACATTTAGGAATATGCAAACAAAATTAAAAGGTATTCAGTTTTCGAAAAAAATATGTTTTTCTTTAAATTCGAGAGGAGAACGCATTTCACAAACACTTGCAATTTACCTTTAAAAATTCATGACACAGTCAATATTATTAATAGTCAGATATTCTTAATACAATCTATGTTATACTCTCTTTAGGATCTGGAGTATACAAAAACTATGACATAGATAAACGAAACAGAATAGCCTTTCATCGATTTAAAAAAAGACAATAATCGTGAAATAAAAAGTATACATCGGATCAGTGTTGTTTTAAATTTCCATTCTAGCTCATGTTTTAGTATTATTAATTTTGTAGAACAACTCTCACTATTTTAAAGTATTTTTTACATGTTTGTAGATTTCTGGGTGTCTCATGTTGGCGTCCGTAGTTCAGATCTTGCTTGGTTTGACGGGGATTGTCGGCTTTCTGATGCGCTTCATTGGACCCCTGACTATCACACCCACAATCTCACTGATAAGTTTCACGTTAATGCCAATTTCTGCAAGTCTGGCATCCACGCATTGGGGTGTAGCATCTATGTAAGTCATTTGTCAATTGAAAGGCTAACTGTTTCATTGGACCCCTGACTATTACACCAACAATCTCACGGATAGGTTTCACGTTAATGCCAATTTCTGCAAGTCTGGCATCCACGCATTGGGGTGTAGCATTTATGTAAGTCCTTTGTCAGTTGAAAGACTAACTGTTTCATTGGACCCTTGACTATCACACTCACAATCTCACTGATAGGTTTCACGTTAATGCCAATTTCTGCAAGTCTGGCATCCACGCATTGGGGTGTAGCATCTATGTAAGTCCTTTGTCAGTTGAAAGGCTAACTGTTTGTGAAATATCGGTCAACTGTAAATTTTCTCGGATGTACGGGATAAACATTCCGTACTCGGGCGATTATGAACAGTTTTCAATCTCTAGATGACGAAATTACGACATCTTCTTTCTTTCTTAATTTTTTATCTACTCTTAATAGTCAAGTTGATCTTGAAACAGGACAATACGGCATGCCAACAATAAGTGTCGCTGGTTTGGTGGGCACACTAGCTGCTATTACTGCTTCAATATAGTTGAATCAGTTGCAGACTATAACGCATGCGCAAAGATATGCCAAGTTCCGCCTCCACCTGCGCACGCAGTCAACCGAGGAATAGCGATAGAGGGATTGGCTAGTTTGGTGTCGGGGTCAGTCGGGGCATGTCATGTTACAACTTCTTATAGCGAGAATATTGGAGTCATAGGACTTACTAAGGTGACGGAGAGGCCTTTAGATTCCTCATTTCACATTTTTATAGAATGCGCTTTTGAAAACAGTCGTTTTCAGTTGTTTTCGGAAAATGTTTGTTGGCCTTTCATGGTGTTTCATAATATTCAATGATCGAATCAAATCCAATGTTTCTTCTCAAGTGTAAGTTCTAGTCAGCCTATGCTTTAAATGATTATATCGCAGACTTGAAAAAATTACACCACACAACATTCTCTTTTGTTATTAGGTGGGGAGCAGAATGGTTTTCATCATGGTTGGTGCATTACTGTTAGTTGGTGGATGCGTTGGGAAGATTGGAACAGCATTAGCTTTGATACCTGAGCCTATTTTGGGTGGTGTCTCAATAATGACACTAGGGTTACTTGGAGCAGTCGGCCTCTCTTGTATCAGATACGCCGAGTGTACCTCCATTAGAAATCTGTCCATTTTGGGTCTTGCTATATATGGAGGTCTGATGATATCAAACTGGATGGCTACACATCCAAACACAATCAATACCGGTAAGATGTTCATGTTTTAGCTAAGTTCACCCCGACGGCGCTTTGGTGGCGCTTTAATACGGCGTATAAAGCGGCTTTGCACGGCGCTTTAAAACGCCACCAAAGCGCCGTTGGTGTGAACTTAGCTTTGGAGAGTAATTATGAAAGCGTAGAGGACACGATGTTGTTTCACCCCATGTAGAGTTGAAGTTCCTTCGGCAATATTTTCAAAATTTGCATGGAGTCTTTACAAATCATAGAACAATGCCTCCAATATAATTTCGTTGCCATGGCCAGTATCCAAATATGGACCCTCCGTTAGGAATTTTAGCGGTTCTGTATAGGAGTATACAGAGAACAAGAAACCACAACTCCGGGTGAAACCATCAAAGCAAAGTAAGATGCCTTTTCCATCCTCTGGACGCAGGGCTCAACTCTTTAGATTTACCCCGGGGGAAGGAGGAGGTACGGATTTTGGACCTGTTTTCGGGGATGACCTCGGCAAGCTCGGGAGCACATGTTGTATTGCCAAGTCAATACTTCTTCTCTTATATTTCAGGAAGTCATAAATTGGATCAAATCCTCACCGTCTTCTTGAGTACAGCAATGTTTTTTGGAGGAACTATTGGCTTTATTTTAGACAACTTAGTGCCAGGTACAGTGAACATCCTTTCCTTCATAAGGCTCCATGTATCCTCTCCTGTATTAATAATTTTACCAGTAGGACCTGTGTATATCCAGACTCCTCTCAATGCTGGCGCCCTTTTTGGTTCAGTTTTTGATCTCCCATAATTGTCCATGATGAGAATTCGATATATTGTTAACTGCCAATCATATCCGAACAAAAACCGGTTTGAACTGAGTTATTTGATGAAATATGAAATAATACGGCCATGTCCAAATTCCTTTGAACTAACAACAGCATACTCGTTTCAGTACCTTAACACATTTAGATTAGGATCACAAGCCTATTGATTATTATTCAAATACTCTCGAAAATTCATAATTCCATAGCAAAATCATTGTAGGTACTCCCGAGGAGAGGGGCATTCTTGCTTGGCGTGGGGAAAATATACCCAACAAAGAAGGCCAGCTCATTAAAGAGGACGAGAGGACGATATATGATATTCCATATATCTCCGGCATTTTGAAGAGACATAAAGTGTTTAAACGATTCCCATTCCTCCCTTCATTTGATACGAACATGCAAACGTAAAGCCTTAGAGGCTGATATTAATTAAAAGATTTATGTATAAAGTTGAATGAAACGCTGATGCGCTGTAAGCTTAATATATTCTCACTCATATGTTTGTTAATTTCCAAAAGAGTTTTGAATATACACAATTTGTGTCATCCGCTTACTTTCATATTTTAATGTAAGCTTAAATGAATAAATAAAATAAATAAACATATAGTCTGTACAGGCCCGTAGCCAGGATTTGCCAAGGGGGGGTTCAGTTTTCAAAAATTTCCAGGGGGGGTTCACATTTGACAATTTAGGCCCAAATATGGTCAAAATCACTTGAAAAGTGCTCAAAATGGTGAAAAACTGCATGATTTTGAAAGAATTTTTGGCCAGGGGGGGGTTCGCCCGAACCCTGCGAACCCCCCCTGGCTACGGGCCTGCTGTAGCTTCTCAAATGAATATGCATGTACGATGCAAGACTGGATGGGTGAAGCTGTAAAGTGTAAGCGTATTTCACCCTTTTGCTAAGTATGCACATATAAATGGTAGGTCACGAGAGGGGGAATTAGGATGCCAAAAGCAGGTAAATGAACACTAAGCCCTAAAATACAATGCACTATATTTTGAGCGCAGAATCGGGTCCTAATATCGACTTGATATCACATTCTGAATATCTAATCAGCATCATCAATAAGTTTTATACCTCTCTATTGATACATATATAAGTATCTGATAAAGTAACACTGGAAAATTCCTTTTCAAATCTCATAAGCATGGGATTTAACTCATCATTTGAAGATAAACATTCACATTTACTACCACCAGGTTAAGATCAAGTTAGACTGACATCTTTTTGACAATCCTTTTTTTAACAATATAACATTGTTTCCAAATACAAAAAGGGATATCCTGTGATTTTTAAGATATAATTTGGAATATAAACAACTATGAATCTTAGCCCTCGTCATATCCATTGGTAGTAGAATATAAAAACTTGAATCATTAAATATCATTTGTTGTGATAGAATTCGAAATAGTCTTATGTTAGGAATACCCTAAAAGTCGAGACAATTAACACCCCCATCTGGGAAAACATTTTCTGGCAACAGACTAACAAAAAATAGTCCATTCACATTGCTAAAAGTGGACTAAAAATGTTATGTTGGAATTAATACTGCTTTGGATTGTCATGGTTGTATGCACAATGTAGAGACCCATACTCTAATCTTGTCAATTTAATTTTACTTGTTCTAGTTGTGTTATTTAAATGATAAGGTAAAGTATAAACAGTTAAGGATCAGCGTCATTCTTCTTTGCTTTTGGAAGTTTTACTTTACAGGGGGTCATTAACAGAAACTTTGAAAAGCTATGAATTCGTAAATCAATTGTTGTAACCATGGATATAATGATGTCACAGTTAGAGAACGATGGACTTCACGAATTCTTAACTTAATGAAGTTTCTGTTAATGGCCCCAGTTTACTTAAGTTATAGATGATTCGAATCTGTGTCTCTCGATGGTTAGTCCAAGGGCTTATTCGTACCCGGGACTTAGTTGAATACCAAACGAAGCGAGAAACGACACGGCATCCGGGGCTTTGTTTGGTCTTCATTAAACAATATTAATTGGCTAATTCAAATCGGATGCGGCAAAAAACCGAACGTCAATTTGCGAACGTTCCGGGTATTACGTTCGCCCTTGGTTTGTCGAAGTTTGTAACCATGGTTAATGAGTGACTTTCAAATCATAAAAAACTTAGAAATCGTCAAAATCATGTAAAACGTTACCCTACTGCTTTAGTACTGTTGTTTTTTAGGCCTTAATAGAAACGTAATTACAAGCCATGGAATATTTCACCATCTGATGAATATGTAAGATCTAGGCAACTAGAATATTTCACATAGGATGAGAATGGGGGGAGAATGGAGGGGGTGGAAATTGAACGGATTTGCCCAAATGGACATGCCTGGCCACTCTAATCTTTAAATGTAACTGCAGTCATTAGCCTCGGAAGGGTATCCACACCACCGTATACAAACCGAGGCCTATTACCAAGCAACTCAACAAATGGTAGTTCTGATCCGAAAGGAAGAAACAAGGGCGATAACCATCACTTACCTTAAGCAGCCGCAAAAGAAATGATTTTTTTTGTGAAATAACTCCTCCGTCGTTTAATAAATCTGAAAATCTTTAAGTGGATCAAAAAGTGTTCATTAAGTCTAACAGTAATAAATCAGTTTTTAAATTATAATGATTATTTATTTTCCTTAAAGGAGCAACAAGGACTGTGGAGAGAAAATTCGAATTTTATTTTATTTTTTCCGAGCTATCAGGTCAATATTTGGCTGAACATCTTCTTTGACATACACTCCCCTCCATACGTTTGGCAACCTTAGATCCCCCATTGAAATACGTGTTAAAGCCTCTTTACGTTTGAATTTTTATTTACTTTACCGGCGATGAAATAACTTATAATACTAATGGGAACGTAACTTGACTTTGTTCCTCAATTACAATAGGTCGAAAATTGATGATAAATTTGATAAATTTTTGAAAATCGTCATTCCCATGTTATCCAATGGGAAATGGAGGGTTCGGGGCAAATCAGAAATCAGGATATATCTTTTCAGTAAAAGATTCAGCAAAAAGTATTTTTTGAATAGAAAATTGAATTGTCTAACTTTTTTTGTACACAGAGTGTTTAGTTTATTTGATGAATACTAAAGTTACAGCGTTTCAAAGTCATTTTCAAAATAATTTTTCGCCTCTTGTGTTATTTCAATGGGAGAGGCTTTTTGAAAAACAATTTTGACTTTAAAGCCCTTAAACTTGAAGAACCTAGATACATAGATATAATAAATCAGTTTTTAAATTATAATGATTATTTATTTTCCTTAAAGGAGCAACAAGGACTGTAAAGAGAAAATACGAGTAGAAAATTCGATTTTCTCAATAAAAATATTTTTTGCTGAATCTTTTCCTGAAAAGATATCCTGATTTCTCCATTTCCCATTGGATTACATGGGAATAACGATTTTCAAAAAATCATCAAAATCATCAATTCTCGACCTATTTTAATTGAGGAAAAAATGAAAAAATTTAGAGGTATTGGAAATAAACTCAAGTTACGTTTCCAATCAATTATAGAGAGGTTTCGCAAAACGAATTAGCTAAAACGTATCCGCATCCGTATCTCGTTACGTTTACGGATACGTATTTCGATAATTTTCGTTTCGCAGTTCGTTTTTTGAATTACGTAATTATAAACGCATCTCAATCCGTGTTTAATAGTCGTGAAAACTAGGGTCAAATAAAAGGCTTCATCTGCACTAAGATTTCAAAACACCATTGGGAGTGTCAGCTTTCAGAATCACAACTCCAAAAGTATTTTTGGTGAGTGCAAAAATACATATTAACCCTTTCATTCCTAAGGTGTCATTTATTAATTTCATGACATCAAATTTCAAAATGAAGAATATCCTTTAGGCCAGAAAAGATTATTTCTCGGTTTACAATAACCAATTCATCAAATTATACCTTTGGGAATATTTAAGGGTTTGAAAACAGACAGGCTGAATAGTGGTCATTAAGTGACGTGCAGTGACTGCATTATGCCACAAAATGTGTAAACATTTCTAAAATCACTTGCCATACTGCACATGGACCTTTAATTTCATGTTTTTGCAGCTGTATATTTTGGTAATAATTCAAGATCAAAAAAGAATAGCGACTTGGGCAAGGTCAAGGCATTCGGAAACCATACGTTTTCACATAAGCCACCCCCCTTTCCTCATACATGGGCTTTAGTTGAAAACCCATGCCTCATATAAACTAAGGAGGGGAACAAAGTAACATATTTGATCATAGAAAGCGACACAAATATATCAGTTATGCAATAAAAGTATGTTTTGTATGAGAAATCAACAAAAAATATATTATGTAAAAAGATAAATTAGCATTGTTTTTCTTGAATTCATTGAACAACAGGGGACCAACTCATCAGAGAACGACGCGAAGCTAACGCCTACCATGCCAGTTGAATATCTCACCATCATAATACCCTATATCCCCCTTGGGGTCTACATAGAATCAACTGATAAACCAACAACGTAATACCCTAAACCGGCCATTTGTTTCTTATCCCAATAAACACCACAGCCTAATCGGACACAGCCCACAACTCGACATATATAACCTATTACAACCAAACACAACCTAGATCACCAATCATGCAACAGTACAATAGAACATAACCCAGTGTCAAAATACTCAGAACACAATATAGCATAACCCAGCACCAAAGCCAGCATTGGGGCAACCTGACTTACAACCACCAAAACACAACCAACTGTCAGATTAACACAATATGTCACAACCCAATAATAAGACAACACAGACAAACACAACCAATTGTTGAATTAACTCAACACAATTGTGCACAATCCAACACTAAACAATAAAAACACAATCAGGCACAACCAATAAAACACAACTAAACTAACAACCATGAAAACACATCGAACTGTGAAATCAATCAACACATAATTTGGCACAACCCAATGTTAAACCATCAAAAGCAAACACCGCCCATTGTTCAAGTAACACAACCATTTTTCAAAACCCAAAACCGAACAATCAAAACAAAATCAGGCACAGACAAAAACACATTATAATTGTAATACCGAGATACACAACTAACTTAACCCAATTGGAGACAACGCCAATCACACAACACAATCAGATAAAACAAGAAACCTCACCCGACAGGCCAAAACCAGCTAGCCAACCAACAGAACATATTCAGAAGAGAAAACAACCCATTATAAGATTAACATAACACAATGGGATACAACCCGATACTAAATCACCAGACTAACAACCATCAAAAGAGAACCTAGTCTCAAACGTACACAACACATTTTTGCAAAACCTATACCTACTTGACACTAACCCACCATTACACAACCAGTCTTAGTCAAATACTCAATCGATTTACTCAACCCATCAAAACACAATCAGGCACAACCAATAAACCACAACGAAACGTTGATACCGATTTACTCAACTAAGTTATTCCAACTGGAGACAATTGCACAAAACAATCGGGGACAACCCGATATCTACTGAATATGTACTTGAATTACAACCCCCCTT